GTTGAAAAGTCGATCCCAGAGTTGATAAAAGTACTCAACCTGGAGCTGAAAGCGAGCGGCATCAAGCTAAGGCCAGACGACACTGCCTCGATTGAGGTCAGGAACGTCCACCGCCACCCTTCGGGTGATCTGGTAGTCTACCTAGACTCGCAGCAACATGCTCAGGCCCTTAGAGCCCAAGAGAAAGGTTGGTTACCTAAAATCTCACCAAACCTCTCCATCAAGCAGGAGTCGCACGCCGTCATCGTTCACGGCGTGCCCACCACTTTCAATCCATCCAGACAGGAAGACCTAGATCTCCTGAAGACGTGTAACGACACCATGTTAGACGATATCTTATTCGTCCGATGGCTGAAAAAGGAGACCAGCGAGGACGCCTCAAAACGTCACTCGTCTCTTTTAATAGGCTTCAAGACCGCAGCCCAAGCTGCCATTGCCGTGAAGACCAAGATCTGGCAGGGCAGAGGCCGCCATTGCACAGAAATGAGTGGTCCGCCGCCCACAAGGTGCTTCAACTGTCAAGGAGTTGGCCACACTGCAGCAGCATGTCCCGTACCGCCTATGTGCCCAACATGTGCTGGCCCACATCACGCCCACACGTGTCCAGTCAAGGGTTCCCTTGCTCTGAAGTGCACTGCGTGCGCTAGAGGGAAGCTCAAAGCTGACCCAAACGCTAACTTACCACGTCTTTTCAAGGAAAACCATGCCGACTTCCTCCATCACCCCTTTGCACCCACGTGCGCAATGAGGATTGCTGGTAAGCTCCCACCACACAACCCGAGTGGATCACCAAAGATCATAGTCATCGAAGAACCCACCTCGCCCCGTACTCAATGTTAGAGCAACGGTTACGAGATCAAATTTCAATGAAGAACACAGCTTCAATTCTCCAACTGAATTGCAAGCACTCAAAACACGTCACTCTTTCTCTTTTTAATTCAGATTTGACTAACCTTTTCTCCATCATAGCCATCCAAGAACCTTACGTCAACCCTTTTGACAACTTACCAACTAACCAACAGAACTGGACGCTCATCTGTCCCACCCCCAAGACTCTCACCAAAGCTGACAGGCCTCGAGCCTGCCTCTACGTGAGACAAGATCTGCTCCCCGAGATTAACCCAATCTATCACACATCAAGAAATATCGCCGCCGGAGTCCTCACAATCAATGGCTTCAAGGTTTTTGTGGCGAGCGTATACAACCCACAAAACACGCTTGATGGTTTCATCGCCTTACAGACATCCTCAAATCAGCCAACCTCGAAACACAACTTCTCCCGACTGTCTGTGTTACAGACTCCAATCTACACTCACCACTCTGGAACCCGGACCACAGTACCACGTCCGACAGAAACGCCGATCTCCTCATTGAGATGATGACCGAGTGGGGCCTTACCCTCCGCTCACCAAAGGGTCAGGCCACCTATGGCCTACACCGCGATGACACCAGAGGCACCTCCATCGACCTCGTATGGGTCAACGAAGAATTCGACGAGGCTACGGTGATGTGCTTCATTGACAACGAGGACATCCTTAATCATCAGTCTGATCATCAGGCCCTTGTGACCTGTTTTTCAACGCAGACAACACCGAGTCAGAGCGACACAGCGCTAGGTAGGAAGAATTGGAGAAAGGTAGATCATATTCTACTCAAAACAGAGCTGATGAAGACCCTCCCAAAGCTCCAGTCCCTCCTAACGCGTCAAGACGTAGACTCCTTCGACACTTCACTGCGCACAGCCATCACCGACGCTCTCAATAAACACTCCCCTCTCAAATCATCTAACATGAAACACAAGCCTTGGTGGCGACCCGATGTGCTCAAGCCTCTTAGAAAAGAAACAGCACAAGCACGACGCCTTCTACGTAAGCATCATACGCCGGAAAGTCGCGCCATCTACAACAAGGCCAGAAACAAATTCACTATTGACACCGCCAAAGAAAATTCTTGGCGTCAATACCTATCCGAACTCGACCACCAAACCCTTTTTCAAGCAAAGAGGATTGCGTCCGGCCGCAAACCCTCCTCGCTTGTAAGCACAATCATCACACCCGATGGTAAGGTATGCACCTCAAACGAGGAGAAGGCCGAGGCCCTCTTTTCAGCAACCTGTGTGGCCACAGCGCCCTGCAACCTCGACGACACCGACCGCCTCGACTTCCCGCTGAAGTTCTCACAACGGCCATCACCTGAAATCACCCCGAAGTTCATTGACTTCATCACGAACGAATCAGTTGGGGCTGTAGTCAACGACAGCCCCCCGACTAAGGCCCCGGGATCTGACAAACTCCAAAATTGGGTTTGGAAACAGATCTGGGACGTTGTCAAGACTCACGTTTGTTTTCTCTTCCAGTGCGTCACGATCACTGGCTTCGTCCCCCAAGGATGGAAACAAGCTACAACAATTATGATCCCTAAGCCCGGGAAGGCAGACTATACGCAAGCTTCGGCGTATAGGCCTATTGCCCTATTGGTGACTTTAGGTAAATTCTACGAGAAACTCCTGACCGTCCACCTGTCGGCGCAGGCAGAAAGGCTCAATCTATTACACCCAGGCCACTATGGTGGACGCCCCGACAGGTCCAGCCAGGAAGCTCTCGTTCACCTGGTCTTGTGGATTAAAGGTGAGTGGGCAAAGGGCAAGGTCGTCGGCGCGCTCTTCGCCGACGTCAAATCAGCCTTTCCCTCAGTCCACCACCCACGCCTCCTGGACTCCCTCGAAAAGATGGGAATCAACACCCAAACGCTGGACATCATACAAGATTTTTTGTCTGACCGCTCCACCACCCTCAACTTCAACGGCTTTGAGTCTCAAGGTTTCATCCTCAACCACGGTCTTCCTCAGGGCTCCCCTCTCTCCCCGTTGCTCTACTTACTTTACAACTCCTCCCTGCTCGAGATCACAGACTCCATCCCCACTGCCACGGCACTGGGCTTTGTCGATGATGTGGTGCTCCTCTCGTCAGCCCTCGACTCACACCAACTTCGATCTCAAATGCAAACCCTCGCCTTTCGCCAACAGCAGTGGGCAAAGAGGCACGGTGCAATCTTCGATACGAAGAAAACCTTCTGGGTTTTATTCGCACCACAGGAACTCACGCACGACATCACACCTACAATAGACTTTGCCAAAAGAAAAAAGCTGGAACCAGCCCCTTTCGCCAAGTGGCTAGGTATCAAAATTGACAACAAACTTACCTTCAAACAACACAGACTCAATGTGTTTGCCAAGGGCAAGCAACAAGCTGGCTTTCTCGCGGGTCTTGCCAAGCAAGGGTGGGGGATTCCCCCAAAACTCTTCAAGATCCTCATGACAACAACAGTCCACTCCGCCATTAGGGACTGGGCGACGCTCTGAAAAGTTGCAATTCAACGGTAGTTGAAATATTCTTCTCAGCAGTTCAGCCGCTGTTCAGTCAATATCAAATTTCCCAATTTTTATTAGTCAACTTTTTGGCACTAAAAAAAATAGGGTGGCGCACAGTGGCATCCAACCATCTGATGAGCTCTCTGTTCAAAATTTCCTCCCCTGCCCAGCCAAAAGCCCCTGGCAAACGCTTCGGGATAGCCTCCCAGATAGGCTTATATACCTTTCACAGACTGACCTGTGGCACCGGGGAATCCCGTGGGTGTGCCCACCGGGGAGCCGGATCAGGATGTGTTCCTTTGGCTCTTGGTCCTCATCCGGCACAACTCGTTTGGTTTACGATGGATGTCTCCTTCCTCTTGATCCCGCTTGGCTTCTGCATCAGCCACACACAGGCCCATGCGTGTGGGCATCCTCTTAGGTGAGCCTTTCTGTTTGGTCTCTCTAGGTTGTGACTGCCAAACTAATGTTTTTTCGGGTATAAGACAGGCCAGCTTGAGACCGAGGATGGATGTCTTCCAAGTTAACCACCGTCCTTTTTTTCAGATAAGGCCTTGACTCAATTTTATATTGGATACCTTATCTTATTTTTGATTTAATACAAGTTAACTTCTTATTTGATCACTCAAAGTATCTTTTTCTTTCAATATTTCATAATGAATCACCAAGAATCGAGATGCAATGGATATATCGGCGAAATGGGCGGGAGTTTCAGTGCAATTGATGGTAGAGTGAGTTGATTTGTGGAATTCGATCAGTTTTACCATTGCAATAATTCAGCTGACTTTCCCATAGCCGTGGCAGGGGTCAGTGTCAAATTCACCAATGCATTTGGGTTCGCGTCATCCCCCAGACAATTGTGAGTTTCATGTTTCCGTCCTATACTGTCTTACGGGCTTCCCAGCTGACCGATGTGTTACCTTTTCCCTGGCCAGTGGTTCAAGTAGCTCCAGGCGAGTTCTATACGGTGCGTGAGGTCGAGGAAAACGGATGGTGTCTGCCAGCTCGAGTACCAGCCAAGATCCCCGCCGTTCCTGATCATCCAGCAAGCCCTGGTACCCAAACGGGCCCAGTTTCATCACTCAAGTCGGTGAGATCTAGTTTGAAAAGACCGGCACCCAGCAGTCCAGTACAACATGTTAACAAGCGAGTTGCAACGTAAGCACTGCCTTCCATTCCATTCTCTATGGCTTTTCCTTTGATGTTGATTCTCTCTGACTATCATACCATTCCTTTTAAATGTTGTGCATCATGTTTGTCTAGGTCTCAAACAAGTACCGGAACAGTACCACTTGATGGGCCCAATCAAGTCTATTCCCCGTACATTCTTCAATCTATTTCCTTTAAACGAGTAAACTTTCTGACTATCTTCTGTGATCAATTTCTTTCAAATGATGGCCCTCCGGCTTGAATAGTCTTAATCCGAGTATTGGGTTAGTAATCTATGTTGTTTTTTCTCTTATCACTGTGTACTGATGTTTGTTTGGACAATCCAATATCTAGGTTTTCCACCTCTTTGGCTTCTACTAGCAATGGTGCGGTAACCAAGATGACCAACATATCTGAAGTGGCTCAGTGTCCCAACTTCTGGGCGATGCCGGTGCACGCGCTGTACGAGTGGCGAAGGCATGTCAACATCCTCGATCGCACCCTTCTGGGGTATTACGAGCAAGCTTTGGATGAGGCGGAGAAGGATTTGGACCGAGCGGCATCTGAGCCCGATGTTCTTGACACATCCATTGTAACTCCTTCTGGACGACCCTCAGCTCCCCGATCTGGTCGCAAACGCTCGGTGAAAGATGAGACTGCGGCTCCAGGCGGATCTGGTCCTGCTTTTAAGTTCCTAAAAGCACGACCTGACCGTTTGGATTTGCTTTTCATGCGTGCTTTGGAAGCTCTTAGCCCATTTGGGTCGAATGGGCAGAAGGGTAAAGTTTTTCATGAATGCGCCATCTGGCTAAAAGTAAGTCAAAATCTCGTTACTGTGTAGTTCACACCCTTATTGATCTTTTTACTGTTTTCAAGACTGATCTAGAAACCCATCGGGAGTTTGCCGAGCTTTCCGAAAGTCCCCACAGTCGAGTGCTTCAATTCCGATACACTCAGCTCAAGCTTTGGCTTGCAGCTGCCGAAAGCTGGAGCAAGATGGACAGTGGGACTGAAGAGGAGGATGAAGAGTTGCGCAATTTGATACGCTCAGTTCAGGACGAGGAGGAAGTAAGTTTTCTTTTTATCTATTTCACTCTATCACTCTATCACTCTCTAGCTTTCTGACTATTATATAGTTACTCTCGTTCTATTGCGGAAAACCTAGGCCGGCCGTTCTCTTAAATTGGCTTGTAAGGAGGAACGCGAGGCGGTTAAAGGCCGCTCTCTCCTTGCGGAGGCTGTTTGGGAAGAATTTGCAACCAAGGCCGTCCAAAACCTCAGAGCCTCTGTTAGCGATGGAGACGAAGGTCACACAACTCCCAGTGCCTCAAGAAAAGCGAAACGATCGAGTCCATCCAATGCAAATGCGAGCACGGATGAATTGACGGCTTTCACTGGCGAGCTTAGTAGGTGGAACGAGGTGTCTTTAGCTGCTCAGGCTGAACAAAACACACGCATCAACGACCTTTACGAGCGCGAACTTGTCATCGCTCACGAACGAAACGAAAATGATCGCCTCATAGCTCAGTCCCTAGCTGATCATCGATCGGCTGAACTTGCTTTACAGAAACAGCGTTTGGATTTTGATCTAGGTCAAGTTAACTCCTCCAAAAACTCATTAGACACACTTCAATCCAAAATCAGCGCAATTGAGATGAATACATCTACCCAAAAATTGGATGTCCTTGAAGCGCAAATGACCTCGATGAATGATGTACTGGCTACAATGATGAAGCATCTTGTAGGCGGTTCACCTGCCACTTCCAATCAATAGTATTTGTCATTTGCTACCTTTCTCACTCAAAAAGTTCTCTGTGCTATTTGTCAACTTGTCTAATCAAGATAATTCAATGCCTATCCTACTCCTAATTTGCTACCTTTCTCGCTCAGAAAGTTCTCTGTGCTATTTGCCAAGTAGACTAATTGGGATATTTCAATGTCAATCCTACTGCTGATTTGTCCCTGATGACCTCTTGAGTGTGTCTCCATCCCCACTCGAACTCCTCCATGTCCAAGCAATCAAACCCTGTGTCATGGCCAATTAAACTGGTTGATCGTACTCCTGAACAATTACAGAGTGGCCTTGTTCACTTGGTAATTTTTCTGTCGATCACACTGATTGATTCAGCGTCATCGGTATCTGAGCATCACATACCCCCATCCTTTTTGCCTTAAACTACGGCGATTATGTAGATGTTGTCCTTGTGACTGGGTCATCTATTTTGACCCTGTTCTCTTCCCGGGACTTGTGAAAAAAAGTTACAATTCATTGGTTTCCTGGCCAAGCAGTTCTCTCCTGTTCTCTCGTGTCGATCCAACATCTCCAACCAATTTGATCGGATTGTGATGATCAACCAGAAGCAGCTTTGTAAACCTGATATCTACTTGAGCTAAGCTGATTTGACAGTTCGGTCTCAAAGGTCAGATCGCTCTCAATGCACAAATGCACAGATTGAGCTCAATCCCGAGTTCAATCTGGAAGCTCAGAACATTCTCAAATGTCAAATCTCAAAGCTCACTTTGATCTGAAAGTTCAGTTCGATTTTGGAGCTCGGATCAATCAGATGTGTTAAGGTGCTTGATGGATCAAAGGTTGACCAAAGTAACTTTCAAAGAAAGTGTTGGACAGCTTTACTGAAAGACCGACAGGACATGTGAAACTCAAAACTGATGTCTCAGTTATCAAAATCAGCATTATTCCGATTTGTTTGCTTTTGATAATTGAACGAGTTCAGTCAAAGTATACCAGCTGCAACAGACATGAGTACAAAGGACAGTCGGTATGTGTAGTGTAATTGAAACAACGATAACACAACTGGAGATATGATTTGAAAGGCTTTTGGATGAAGGTGGTTCACGTATTGAATCAAGTTTGATGGTGTCAAAAGAACAAAATGGCAAGAGTCCGCTTGGAGCTGATATCGATGTGTTCGGAAATACCTTTCCGAAGAAAATTTGCCTGTTTGATCATCCAAATGACTGAAAGAACAAGTGATGTATAGAATGAGCTGAATATGAAAAGGAATCTCGATGACTTTAATCCAACCAGCAAAACCGCACACGAAAGGACATGTCGATCGGTTCAATCATTGAGTTGAAGTTATTGACGTGGTAATTAACAGAATCTGTGAGTGTTTTTGGTGATAAAGGAGCCAGGGTGATCATTTTTATCGAATAAGTTTAATAGCCTCAGTCAATGTAAATCTCTCTTTCAGATGGGCGTATGGTCTCTCAAAGTCAGGTCAAATTGCATTGGACCTGACTTGAAAGTCACGGTTTACAATGACCAAATTACAAGGGTTATCTCCTAAATACGACCGAGGTATTCTGCTAGCGATGGCGGTGGAAGGGGTGAATTTCCGGGCCCGCGGCCGACACATATAAGACAGTTTTTGAAGAATACTGCCACATGATACAACTCATTGAGGTTATTTAAGAAAAAACGCAGGTTATCTGTGGCCAGAAATGCAAATCAATTAGTTACATACAAGCTTGCTGGGAGAGACTGGAATCCAGGGTACTCGCCTTCATACTGGGTTAGCCTGAATATGTTGTGCACCCTTCCAAACTCATGTTCAACCCCAATACGACATCGTGACATGGCCTTATTGAAGACAACTTGTTGAAAGTCCATTCGATCCTCATGACCGCGGAAAGGTGTCATGATCACATCGGTCGCGGTATACCCCTTATCACCGTAGAGTCGCATTTGCTGTCCATTCATACCCTTGGCGTGCCGGCGAAGGATGGCTTCAATTTGGGTGTCCTTCAGCATGGCCTGATCGTGACGGGAGCCAACGTACGCTTTGCTGAGGTCTACCGTTAAACCACTGAAACCGGAACGGACACTCAATGAAGTCAGCATGATTGCGCTTAGCAGTACTGGGACAAATTAAGAGAATAACAACACATACTCAGGTGTAGTGACCGCCTGAAATTTTAATGCATGGCAGCGTTTGTGCCCGTTGTAAAAACTTGCTTGTAAATGTTTTGGCCTAGAGATCTTCCAAACCGTTCCTAAAACCAAAGATCCCAATCAGTAAACTAAGACACATGAGATCACAAAGACAGGGACCATATCGTTACCATCAATATACCCAACGCAGTTGTCCATTGGACAATTTTTTGCAATGACCAAAGAGCGCGCATATTCTTCCAGACGAGCGGAGTTCAGACGGCGTGGATTCCACTTGAGTAAGTGGCACCAGTTTGATTTGACCCACTCCTGAGCATACCTTACAATCCTCCCAATGATGCTACGTTCTCGTCCGAAAATACCCGCTAGATCAAAATGGCGGCTGGGAACTGCCAGTCGGGCTAACAACATGGCCAGTGCTGTGAGTCCTGATTCTATGCAGCCGTTGTCCAGAGTAATTGACTGAGGGAAGGCGAGTAGGTGGTGCAGTGAGATAATTTCGGGGGGCCAAAATCGAGTGGTCATGTAACAGACCCCAGGTGTCCATGTCAGGACATTGATGCGAGCATGACCGTCGTACAGGATTCGGCGTTTTAATGAATCTTCTAGGGCCTGTTGCGCGATACGTGCTCAAACCGCAAGATTGGCCACGAGCCATAAAGGAAGGACTCGCATTGGATCATTGGGGCGAGATCGGTTGAAGCCCTTGCGAGATAGGCGCTGAAAAGTCCTAAGATACGATGAGCCAAGAAACAATCAGACTAAAAACCAATAAACTAGTATCACAATGATTCGAGTGGAACTTACATGTGCAAGGTAGAGGCAAGACTCTATATTGAAGTCGGTGTGCTATGATGATTGAAGATGAAAGGATTCAGTGTCAACAACCACATAAATGCGGAGGAGGCTCAGCTCAGTCTGACCGTTTGTTTGTCAACGATCTTGGTGCAGTATTCGGGTCTTTGGTAATCTGACCGGGGGCAAGTCAGGAGTCGGATTGATCCGGGGCTCAGCTTAGTTCCAAAGAGGTTTTGACTGGGATTCGGGGCTGGAAAATTATCTGTGATACCTCCTGTTGAAATCAATTCGGACAACTTCCATTGTACTCTTGGGCTAAATCGAGTGGCGGAATCCTCTGTCCGTCAAAACGTCGCCCAGTCCCTAATACCTTATCCGGCACAGGGCTAGGCGGGGCGAGACCGTTGAGTGCTGCGATATCAGTTTCTCACTGGGGAGTCGGGGCCAGGATATGGTTTCACAGTATTTCGCTGTGCCTGTCGTTTCCTCAACCAATCACTCCACACATTTCCAAACATCTTCAAACTTGTACGCTTCATCATACCATGAGTGTCAATGTCAAAGGCAAGGTCGTCTCCAAGTGACCTGAAATGCCCCCTGACCTCCCCGACATTGAGCTCAAGAACATCCCGTTGAACAACAATGACGGACTTGATGAGGTTAGCAAGTTGATGCCATCGTGTTAACTGGATTTGCGACAAAAGTAGTTCCCAAGTTGACAACGACCTTCAAACAGTTTATCAGGCTTCTACTTCGGCGGAAGACCTCGATGACCCTTTCCCTTCCAGACTAGTGATAACGGTCAAACCACTTAAATAGACTTTACCAATTTAAAGTATTTATCAATTTGATGCCTGGTCTACTCATGTTTCATTTGGTTGCAACATATGTATACCAAGGAATCATCTCAGTGCCATTTCTGTGACTTCCAATCATTTGATGATTGGTTTTGAATACCAAGTCTTTGCTTGGCATAAGAATTTCAATCCTTGACCTGAGTATTGGTGGAAGGATTTGGCAAGTTTGTCTTTATGACCATATGATAAAAGACAATTGTCAAGAATGTTTATCAATACTCAAGCAAGCAAAATAATACAATCAACCAATGATGAAAAAAACAAATGCCATTATTCAAATGATCTAGATCACTAACATATAAGCCAGTCCTTTGAAAGATCCCACTCTCAACTCTTGTCCAAATAAGCAGAGGTATAAGGCAACAATACAGATTATAGTATGAAGAATTATGCAAAATATTTCTGAAAACTCATCATGATCATACTGTTTTTATACCATTCTGGTGTGGAACTCTCAGTAGGCTGTTGATGATGACTTTGTTGTCGATTGGATGGTGAAAAGTCAAGTCAATAATCAAATCATCATCATACATGATTATTATATTTTTATTGGACAGTTTTGCCATTTCTTAACAGTTCATTGGATAATATCAACAACACTTACTATTGTGAGTATTAGTCAACTCATTGATAAGAAAACTGAAACAAAACTGAGAAGTTAAGATGATATTGCATATATTTTAGAATGTAAGATGATGATAATTTGTGAATCCAAGGCACATATAAGTAATATTCAGTTAAACCAGAATAATCTGATGGATTTAAATCTTCAATTGAAGAATGATATAAACTGATTTCTTTTAATGAATTAAATGATCTTGATAGATTAGATGTGATTTGACATCTATCCAAATATGATGTATCAAGTGAAATTGAAATATCTTGAATCATAAGTGAACTTAACTGATTTGAATGTTTTGTCAAATGATCAAAAATATTTAAATTCTCCTCGGTTGATTGAGAATTAGTTGAATTCTGAAGATCTTGTACTTTAAAAAGTTGATCGATTTTTCCAATCTTGAGTCACTTTAAATTTTCGCATGATTTAAGAAAGTTAAGAAACCTTCTTGTGTGATTTGTGAACAATTTGTTCAGATTAAATTTGTTAGATCAGATGATCGATGTGGGTTTTGAAATGAATCATAAAGTGAATTACATATTTATGAAGCATTTAATGATTCGTCCGTCAATTGATGATTGATA